GTAGTAACTAAATTCTCGAGTATTACCTTCGCTCCTACGCTATATAATAATAAGATACTTAGGTTAATCTTTTAGACCTTACCGAATGTATATATAATACATTATAGTGTTCCGTTACTCGTTATTTACCCGCTAAGGCCCTAATAGGTTATAACCCGCGCGGCCCCTATACTCCTATACTATAAGTTAAATAGCCCTTTACATTAGTAGAAGAGAGAGTAAAATAACTATCTCTTAACCATATATCAATCTATAAATAACTATTACTTAGTAATCGGGTAATAGCTAACTATTATAACTGTAAACACACGCTAAAGGAGTTTTATTTACACGATAAGGTTTTAGTATCTACTAAAAACATAAAAATTATACGCCTAAGTCGAAAATTATTATATAAATACATCGGGCCTTTTAAGATTATTAAGGTAATAGGTGATCACCGGTTAGCTTATAAGGTCGACCTTCCTAAGTATCTTCGGATTTATAACGTTTTCCCTATTAGTTTACTTAAGCCTTTTAACTAAGATAGCCGTAGAGCGCCGGCTAAGCAGCTATTAGATATTAAAGCGGAAGAGGAGAATAAGTTTAAGGTTAAAAGGATTTTAGGTATACGCTAGAACTCTAAGCGCCGCTACCGCGAATTTCTTATTAAGTAGGAAGGTTATCCTGTAGAAGAAAATACTTAGGAACCTAAGTTATATCTTTATAAAGATTTAGTTACGGAGTACCTCTTTAATTAGGTAACTGCTAATTTATAGTTATTAGCGGTATAGTAATACTATTATTTTATTAAATTAACTATATTCCTTTATATTACTATTTTATAGCTAATAATCTCTAGCCGCCTATTTACGGTCTTTTTATTATTATTAGCCGCTATTTACGGACTTTATATTAAAGTAAAATATATATAACCGCTAAGTCCTAGTTATTTACCTATTAGCTAATAATCTAAACCCAAAGCCTATATTTTCTTCTAGCTAGTCTAAACCTAGCGATAATATTCGTGTTCTAGTCTAAACCCAGACGCTAATCTCCTACTAGATGCTAGATATTCGTACGTTATCTATTCTTTTAGCACCGGTCTAAACCCGGTACTTTTTATTAGTCTAAGCCTAATAAACCTAACCCTAACTAATTACGGATTACCTCTTAATCCACGATATCGTTAAAATTATAATACCCACCCTTATAATAACTAATTAGTAATAGGTTATAAGTTAGGAGAATAAGGGGAATTACCCACCTATTAGTCACTAGTAGGGACTCCCTTATTATCCTCCTTATCTATAATATCACTATAGTTATTATTTACCGGAGGAGGGGGTGGCCTAGGTACTAGAGTAATAATAGTGGTTCCGCTATTATTAAGTGCCTGACTGTTTAGATCCTTTAGCCGATTTCTAAATTCCTATATAATTATTAGCCTTATCTTTATAAGTTAACCACTAGTTAACCTATAATAATTTTATCGGTTAGGGATTTCTGCCTATCCCGAAGTAACCTAACGAAAGATACTTAGGCGCTGGAATCTTTATTCCGCTTTTCTTATAGTATTACTAGTTATCGTAGTATATTAGTAACCGCTACGCTACTACTAGCCTACCGCTCGGCTATAATTAACTACCGCTAAACTTACTCTTAATATTCCTCCTCGAGCTTAGCCGCGGGGCGCTTTTAATCTGATTGCTATATTTTCTTATAATTTAATACACGTTTACCTAGACGCTGTAAATACTATAATTCGTTGTATATTATGTTTAGAATTATTACCTAATAGTTAACTTATAAATATATACCTTTGGCTCGTATCTGCCTTATACTAGTGTTATTTAATCACGTTATAAAGACGTATAATTTTATCTAACTATATATATAGTATCTATAATTAATTAGCAGTGGAATAGCTATACACTAACTAATATACCTTTATACAGGGTTTTAATCCCTATTCTATATAATATATATATTTAAGCGAGGCCGCTATTATACTAAGTTAGCAGCTGATTACTTATTATTCCCTACTTAACCACTTTACTTATAATCTCTATAACTACACGAGGGAACTTAACTACTACTAGGGTGCCACTTCGTTATTCGACTAACACACCGCACGCACGGAACTAGAAACGGATTATATCCTTATTCTACGGGAGGATACAAAGTGTATACCCGGGATATACTAGCTAGTCTACTATTACCTAACTCGACCGTCCTATTATTCTAGTAGTAGAACTATTATTTAAATTACCGATATTGGTATTATTCCTACTACTAACGTTATAGCTAGTCTACTACTAACTACTAGGTGTTTCTCTACTAACTAGACTTAGGGGCGCCGAGGTATTATTATTTTCTATATCCGTACCTTAAGTACTAGACGCCTTACCGCTAGTCCCCTGTTAAATGCCTGTAGTACTATTTTTCTTAGGACAAGGCTATTTAGGAGTTTTTGCTATACTACCACCACGACTTCCCTTAGGAGGTATAGTTATCCTATAGCTAATTAGCTATTACCTATATTCCTACTATAAATCTAAAGGCACTTATAGAGCTTAGTAAAGATTCACTTAACTATAAACCTTCTCTATTAATCTATTCTATATCAGTTTTATCTAACCGCTATCCAGCTATTACTCTCCTTCGAAGTTAAATTATATATACCGATAGGAGACTCGTAACGAAAAATAGACTTATATACGCTAAAAGAAAAACTGTATACACGTTAGCTACTAGTTAGCCCTCTGCTAAACCGCCACCTCTTCTGCTCTAGCCCCGACTATATAACGCCGCCTATAGCCTCTTATAAATAAGGGGGGGGGATACTTATAACCTCTTTAGGGAGCCTAAAGAGGGGAAAAAGAAGAAGAAAAGGAAAAGAGGCCTATAGCCGAAAAGATCCTCTATATAATAGTGAGGACCCACTTATTATGCCTGCCGTTTTACTATTCACGTATAAAAGGGCAGGCACGCCTTTATTACCGGTAATGTATTTCCCTATTCACGGAATAAATAATACGAACGCGTTTAATAAACGGGAAGATATTAACCGTTTAATAACACTACTACTATCTAATAGTGGGTAAGTAGCTGCTTCAAACTTTTATTTTATACCTGTTATTATATAAGGATATATCCCTTATAGACTTATTTTTTATAATAAATCCCTATAAACCACCGTCTAATTAATAGTTAGCTACCTATAGTAGTTCTTTCCACGCCCTTATATATACCTAAAGTGCTTAAAATAGCACACTTCGTAAGGAATTTTCTCTTTATTCTCTTCTTCTAAAAATATCCTTTAGTACCACTATTTAAGGTTAGGATATATTTTAAGCCTTTAGCTCCACCGTCACTTAACGGTGGATTACCTACGGCTTTATTTTCTTTAAGCTCCGACCCACGTATCACCGATAGTACTATTAACCCACTCGCCTTACCCGATAATTACTACCTACCCTATAGATACTCCGTAACTAGCTATAGCCTAAGGATAGGCCTTATTCTAGGAAGGAGTAGCCTGTTAGGTATAGGATATAAGGAAGACTTAGGAGGTACTAGGATATAGTAGTGGACTACCAGCTAACTAATAAGTGGATATTTATTATATAAGACGGGGAGCTAGACTATTCTAGAAGGAAGGGGTTAGCGATTATCTCTCCTCTATACTACCACCTACCTTTAGATACTTATCCTATTAATCACCAGTTAACCTATAGTTAGCCTCCCCTTATATAAGACTACGATCCTTATCTGTCACTCCCTATTACCCTCTAGTCCTTATCCCTTCGGGGTAGATTTATATATCCTTCTTAACACTTATCCTTATTCTCTTCTTAGGACTACTCGGGAACTTAAGGGCTATTTTAGCTAAGATTTTCGCTATTCGAACCTAGTATTAATTATAGATTAGAATCGGATCCGGATTAGGGTTATCAATATAGGCAGTTTATACTTCTATACTTCCCTTAATTCCTTTTATACGTTTAGGTATAACTATATAAAAGCCACGGTAGCTTTTAAGGTATCGTATTAGCCCTAAAAAAAAGCAGAAAACACTTCTTATATAAGAATTCTAAGTAGTAATTAAATCTTTTCGTATAGTAAATAGCTATTAATGGATTTCGGATTAACTTCACGATATCCTATAGTAGTATTATAAACTTTTTATTATTAGTGCAGGTACGTTTCTCGAACCCTCTTAATTTTCCTAAAAGGGTAGACTGCGAAGGTACCACTTTATACGTTTTTTCAGGGGTTATATAGTATATTAGGATGTACATATACCAAATGCAAGGTGGGGTTTAATTACCTTCATATAGGTACAGAGAGAGGTGCGTGAATGTCATGCCGACCTTAGATACACAGTGTCTATATGTCATACGTACCTTAAGGTACCTAATGCACTCTGCAACCCTTACTGTAGATGTAGGTAGTATGCTCATGCCAAACACAGTAAGAGCCGAGGCACATGTCATCATTTCCTTCCCATTTCCCTCCCTTTTTCCCTGTTCCCCCCCAGAAGCAAAGCACACCACCAGCTTCTCTCCCCCAATACCAGCACCAGGTCTTCTCTCCCTCCACTCATAATTTCTTCTTTTGACCTGTGATCAAGAGGAGGAAGAACCAATACCACCCTCCCTTGCTCAACTTAATTCTCCTTTTCCCCCCCTCTTCCTCGCGTCCTCGCTCCTCACGTGTCTCCCTCGAAGAATCGAAATCTTCACTTACGATATCCAATCGCCTTTACATCCTGTCATCAACCAAGCGACACAAACGTCCAAAATCGATACACGGGCGCCTCTCCTGTATCGTTTGACAGCTTGACGAAAATTGTCTGTGCAGGAGGTCATCTTAACGAACCCAGGTGCATCTCATCACGTCCCCTCCAGCACCCACATACGTCCACGATACGCCCCATCGCCGCATCTCAACCAACATTGGGAATACGAAAAGAAGAAGAAGGGTCAAAAGGGGCGCTTTTTCAACCCATCCACTTAATGGCCTCGGCTGCCGTCGCAAACCCGGGGCCAGGCGTCCTCTCCGGGGCACCCCCATCTTCTTCCCCTTCCTCTTCCACCCAGCCACTCGCCCGCTCCTCGTCGTCGTCTTCATCCCCGAAATCTCTGTCGCGTACCCTGACGGCAAAGAGCGTCACCGACCCCATCCTCCGCAATGCCCTGCGCTACACCATCTCCGCTCGCGAATATGCCATTCTCCACAAGTATATCCTGTCGCGTCCCCGCGTCCTGCGCCGTGCCGCGCCCTCGGTAGCCACCGTCGAGCGCATCATCGAGGGTTCCGATGGGAGGGGGAAGAAGGGACAGCCGGCTGCTGTGGACAACGCGGGAGGTAGTGGCGGTGGTAATGGTAGCGGTAATGGGGACAGTTATAATACACGGGCCGTTAGGGAATCGCTGCGGGTGTTTCTAGGGACTGCGGGTGCCATGAAGACCTTTGAAGCGCTGGCTAGTAGGGTAGCCGGCAAGAAAGAGTATGTCTTACATCCCTTCCCTTCCCCTTTTCTTTCTTTCATTCCTTCCTTCTTTCTTTTCATTTTCGTTTTCTTCCATTTTGTTTGTTCCTTTCTGCGCCACTGCGCTGTTGAAAGAGGGCAAGGCATCGATCGCTAACAAACCCCAAACAGACCCAACACATCCTCCAAGAAACAACCGCTCCACAAATCGTCGACTTTCCGCCTCTCCCTCTCCCTCTCCACCATCCTCCTCCTCTACCGCGTCCTCTTCCGCTTCCTCACCCGCCTGCGCATGCACCTCCTCGACGACGCCGCTCGGCCCTTCCGCCTCCGCAACCCCCGCGCCGCCGCCACCCTGACCTCGCCCTTCGCCCCCGCCGTCGGCGCCTCCCTCGCCGGCCTCGCCCTCGGCATCTACCCGGCCCAGAAGCTCCGCGTCTCCGTCGCCGTCTTCGCCCTGTTCCGCGCCCTCGAGTTCGCCTGGAACCTGTGCGAGGGCGAGGGCCTCGTCTGGGGCTGGAAGAACGGCGGCCGCCTCAAGCGCGAGCGGCCCTGGTGGTGGGGCAGCTGGCTCCTCCAGCCTTTTGCCCTCGGCCAGTTGTTTCATGCCTTCGTCTTTGATCGCGACTGCTTCCCGGAGCCGATTGGCAAGTTTATCGTCGGGGGTTCGACGGCGTATCTGCACCCCAGGCCGGAGGGGTATCCGAGCCATATTACGTGGCCTAGCGCGTATGATATTGTGGATAGTCTTGCCCGGATGGCACGTCTCGACTGGCCGTACGTTCAACTTTTTTATTTATTTCTGCCCCCTATTATCTCCCCCCATCCCATCCCCGCTTCTCAGACTAACGTCTCGGTAGACCTTACATCTCACCGACACTCTTCCCCGACAAGGAGACTCTCCCGCTATCTCTTTCAGCCGTAAGACCTCTGACCTCGTTGGCCCACCCCATCATCACATCGCTCTCCTGCGCGACACTCCACCCCTCCGACCCGTCCTGTCTCCGCACCTACCTGCAGTTCTGGCTCGGCTCGTTCCCGCCGCTCGCCCGCCTCTTCCTGGGCCTGTACGCCGCGCTGGCCCTCCTTCCCGGCGGCGGGCGGAAACTCTTCTACCACGCGCCGCTGGCGACGCTGCAGGGCGTGCTGGCGCGGGCGCTCCGCACGTCGAGCTTCCTCGCGGGCGCGCTGTCCACGGCGTGGGCGTCCGTCTGCTTCTTCCAGCAGTGGTTCCCGCGGCACTTCCTCCCGCGGCTGCGTTTCTTCCTCGGCGGGTTCGCGGCGGGGTTGTGGGCGTGGGCGGACCGGAGGAGGGGCCGGGCGGCGTTCCTGTACTCGGCGAGGGCGAGCGTGGATTCGCTCTGGAAGGTGGGCGTTAAGAGGAGGTGGTGGAGGGGGATGAAGGGCGGGGATGTGTGGGTTTTTGTTGCCGCCTTGATAGTTACCGGGGTGGTGTACGAGCGGGATGCGGGGGCGATGCGGGAGGCTGGGTGGAGGAAGGGGGTCAGCTGGGTACGGGGGACGGGGTTCCGGGATTGGAGCATTGAGGAAGATGAGGTGGAGGGAGAGAGGGATGAGGAGGAGGACGAAGAATTCGAGCCGAAGGAGTGAAGGCAATATAATGTCTAACGAGGCTGTAATTGATGTCTACTGTATAGTTGTATCTATGAGCTCGTGAGACGTGGATGGGCACTGCCACATCCGTTGGAACGACGCTTCATAGTTCTAGCATAAAACCAACTTACCGACCCCTTCGTGTGAATACTGCTCGGAGCGAAGCTAATCTTGAGTTCCTTCATCACGTGACGCAACGTAAAGTGTCGGTTTTGCTTTTCTTCATCGTAGCCGGGATATTTCTTGATAGCCTCTTCGACGGGATATTTCTTGATGGCCTCTTACAGGCTGTCGAAGAGGCTTTTAAGAAATATCCCGGCTACGATAAAGAAAAGCAAAACCGACACTTTACGTTGCGTCACGTGATAAAGGAACTCAAGATTAGCTTCGCTCCGAGCAGCATTCACACGAGGGATAGGGAGGCTGGGAGGAACAGGAAACTGTATAAGGTTCAACCAAGGAGACGAGGCCGGCAAAACTGTGAGCACAGGTTAGCGATCGCAAAGCGCCTCAGATGGGGGGTGAGAACTCACAGAGGGCCCGCGCCCCCCGGAGAAACCGACTCTATGCGCCACTCGACACCTAAATTCCGCCCGTGCGATGGCATCATCCAAAAAAACCGGCAAAACGTTCATCTCATACACTCGTCACAGGAACGGGACCCCTCGTCTTCTCGCCGCCCACCCCTTCGTCCGCTGCCGCTTCAACAGCCCGGACAACCTCCCGAAGCCACCACACATGGATGCGCACATCGTCCGTCAGCTCCGGATGGAAACTGGTCGCAAAGACATTCCCCTGGCGCACGGCTACGATATCGCCGATGGCATCGGGGGCGTCGCTCTCGCTGGGCCGAGAAAAGCCGGCCCTGTGCTTCCGACCGGGGAGGACGGCGAGGGTTTCGACGGGCGGGCGGACTGGGAGGGGCGAGGCCCCTGACTCAGCGCCACCCTCGGTGCTCTCGGAGGCGATGGGGAGGATGGCTTCGACGATGGGGGCGCGGATGAAGACGGCTTGGAATGGTGATGGCGTAGAAGGGGATGATGATGATGCTGCTGCTGCTGTTTCTACTTCTGCTTCTGGCTGCTGGGCCTCGGCCGACGGAGAAGAGGAGAGGAAAGGGAGGTCGAGGTCGGCGATGAAGCTCTCGACTTGGCGGCCGAAGTGGTTCCGGTGGACGCGGACGGAAAGGCCGCCTATGAGGGCCTGGCCGCCTTTTTTGGTGGAGGTGGCGTTGGCTTCGTCGGCGAGAAGGATGGCGCCTGCGCAAGTCCCCCAGACGGGGTTTCTCCTGTGCCTGTTGGGGTACTTAGCAGAGAACAAAAGTAGAGAC